ACCTCTCTCTTGTAATTTGCTTTTTATATAGGGAAATAAATCACAATCAAATGGGATACAAATAAGATCTATACCTCGCTCTTTGTATATATCCCGCTTTTTTTGATTACACTTCTTTTGTGAATCTAAATCTATTTCTCCTCATTTATGAAACATTGAATTCTGAGAATAATGTTGAACCTGTTAAATTCCCATGCCAATTTTAATTCTTTATTATACCAATTTAATTGCATCCCATTCAAAAATAACGATTTACATGATGGAAATTTTTTACCAAGCAGATCTTCGAAAATATATTTCGCAGATCGCTCCTCTTTAAAATGAGGACATAGGGGGCACCATTCAAATTTACGCTTCTGGGTCTTATAAGGTGCAAACCACTGATGCTTTCCATTTTCACATGACCAAAGATATACGTTTAGGCCATTTATATGATCAGTTTTACCAAGATATTTTCCACCATGCTTTTCGGCATATGTAACGGCTTTAGCCATTTTATTAACTACACAGATGAAATTAATAGATTTGGAGTGAGTATTTTCTTCCAATATACTCTGGGGCAGATACTGAAGTTTTTTTAGATCTATGTGCATGAGCTCTTCACGTACAAACCCCCATTTTGGAGGATATTTATCGTCATCATCTCCGAGATAATATAAAATTGGCTCATTCTTCGTTACAACAATTTTTTGAATTTTATGTAAAGAAGGTGAAAACGTCAGATCTGTGGCCCTTTTCTGATTCTCCATACCTCCCTTCCACTCTGCATTAGCAAGCAAATAATGAACTGTATCACCCTTCTTTAACTTATTCTCCTCATTTTTTCCAACTGAATGCTTATATTTTGTAGATGGCCTAGATTCTACCTTTTCTAACTTGATGGCTTCCTTGGGAGCTAAACCCCATTTTGAAGAACCTGGAGCTCGGATGAGATGTGTTGGATAATTATTTAAGTAATTGATAACTTTTTGCAAATGCTTAACCCATGCTCTTATTAGTTTAGGGTTCGAAGTTATACTTTCGACAGCATATTGGACTTTATATAGTATTTCCGCTAGAGTTTTATTAAATCTCTCCACAATTGCTATACCATGATGGGAATATAGACCAATAACTCGAATTACTTCACTGTGTTCTTTTATTAGTTGGCTTGTCTGTCCTGCCTATTCTTTCCCATTATCACATTGTAGAAGTGTCGGGTATGTAAGAGGTTTATTGGAATCATCATAAAATTTCTCAAATGCTTTAGCAAACTCCGAACTTTTCTTCGATATGAGAGGAACACTTGCTTTGAACCTGCTAGCCACATCTATTATATTAAGTACTGCTATCCATTTTTTATTTTTGTAGTGATCATGTGTAAAAAACAAAAGGTCACACTGATGTACACAATTTGGACGTAAAATTTTACCATAACTAACCCGTGGAGTATCTTTTGGTGGTGGAATATGTTTTTGCCATTCATTCTGGTTCGTAAGCCACTCACATACTTTTTTATATGGAAATTGATATCCCTCTGCTTTAAGATCTTTCCATAATTTTTGGGGGTTGAAATGATACCCTGTTGGTTGATAGAATAATAACCTGCAAACAAGATCTACTTCCTTATTAGGATCTATAGTAATACTAGGTTGGTTCATTTTTAATGCATTTTACTATATCAATAAATTATTATTTGACAAAGTTT